TTATTGCGCTTTTCAAATTACTGTGATCATCAAATTTCATGCATCACACACCACACGGGAATCTGGGAATCTGGAATCTAAATTCAGAATATAAAAAAAAAAAAAATCCCAAAAGTAGTAAATTTTTCTTTTTCGAATATAAAAAAAAAAAATTCCAAAAGTAGTAAATTTTTCTTTTTTACGTAGAATATAAAAAAAAAAAAATTCCAAAAGTAGTAAATTTTTTCTTTTTCCCGAACAAATCAAATATATGATGGCAGATGCTGCCAATACTAAACTTAAATATTACCGTGGCACCTGTTTTGGGTGTAGAAAGTGTTTGTACTGCGCAGCTGATTTGCGAAGCACCACTTGTAAATGTAAATTATCTCTAGTACCAACGAAAAAAAATAGAACAGATTCAGTGAAACAAGCGTATACACGCATCTATGAACCTACTTGGGCAGCACCCAAGTTTGAATACATTCATGGAAGAGTCATGGAACACAATTATCGAATAAATTTGAAAAAGTCTTTTCGGTTTTCTCTTTGTGGACGATGCCACAATGTTTTAGTCAAAGTGAATCCCGTGAAGGTTAAAAAAAATACAGATATTACAATAAACAATGAAGAGAATAACAATGTAATATATTTTCTTATTACAGATATATACATTTATTAATATATTTAAATATATTTATTAATACATTGCTTTTATTTATAGGAAATAATTAGGTCATCCTCCCAATTATCGTCGGCTGCAGCAAGTGAAGATCAAGTTAACGAAAGTGAAATGAGTAGTGAAGATGAAGAATCTGAGTTTGCAGTAGATTATAAATTATTTGTTAAAACAGCGGATGGGGTTTCGTTACCTGCTAAATGGTTCAAAGAATCTGTATCAACAGTTGATGAATTTCTTTTATCCATTCACGATAAAATTCTTTTGATAACAAAGGATAATAATATTATGCCAAATGAATACTCCGTGACATTCAAAACGCAAAGAGAAACTGGCGCTGGCACCCAATTGGTCGATGAACAAGATTTCATAAAGTTCAAATCTGAATATACAAAGTTAGCTGCTAGAAAAAGCGATATCGGGATTTATGTAACAATTGTGCGACAATCTACTCAAAACAAACGAAAAAAAAAGGTAGTACATGTATCAATACAGCCATAGTATAAAGCATATTCTTATAAATAATATTGATTTTTTTATAGGAATTGGATTTAAGCGAATGTGAAGAAGATAATGAAAGATCAAACAATTACAAAAACAAAAATCAAGTCCCAAATGTTTCGTCTTTGTCTTCACATGATAAAGAGATTGCCGAAAATGTGTTAAAAATTAGAAATGCATATCACTGTAATGTGCATAATCGTCCCTGCATAAATAAAGAAAGCCACAAAGATTTTCATGTGGAAATTACATTTATGATGCTCTCGATTTGGGCATCTGATATGGTATATTATAGTAACGGTAATGTTTATAACAATTTATACTGCTTATAGTAAACTTATTTATGTATATTTTTAGAACAAAGGACTGGCTACGGTCGAAAATCCTCCAACACACCCTCTTTTTTCCTATGCTAATATATCATCCAAAAAGCGGTTACCATCTTCTTATTTACAATCACCACCAACTATGTTATCACAAATGCCATTAGTTTTACCATCTTCGCCACCACATGCACCACATACACAAATACAACTTACACAACCGCAGACACAACTATCACAATCTCCACAAGTACAACTTACACAACCATTGTCACCACAAACACAACTATCACAATCTCCACAAGTACAACTTACACAATCATCACCACAAGTACAAGTTGGGCAATCATCTTCACCATATGCGCAACTTATACAACTACTGCCACCACATATACAATCGACACAAGTACAACTTGCACAACCACTGTCATCACAATTTGTACAACCATCACAACTATCGCCACCATTATCACAAGGACAACCCCAATTTATTCTACCATCATTTCCTTTACAGCAAACACCATTGATTTTACCGTCACTACCACAGTACAATTGGGCTTTTGGATCTCAACCGTTTCAATCACACCAACCAACTTTATATAACCCGTATCAAACATTACCTCATATTTCTATACAATCTCAAGCAATTCAATCTAACCCACATATTTCTTCTACTTTACCTACTATGGCAGAATTTCTAAAAGAAGTAGA